TTTCAACATTTTCTTTACAAATTTTATGAGAGGTTTTGCTAAATTAACTAAAGAAAACTAAAGGGGATTTTGAATAAACATTATTAGTAAAACTATTAAACTATTTAAAGGCAATATGATTGTAGAAAATTAAAAAGGCACTAGAACTAATATACTGAGTTTAGGATAATTACACAATACAGTTTCAATATAAAAGAACCCATGGTTCTCTGTCGCTGGGGCTGTATATCACTGATTGTTCATTTGTGTAATTACTACATGGCTACGATATATTGGTGAAAATAATTAGAGACATTTTTAAAGGAAAGCTATCCCATATTCTTGGACTGGAGAATTTATTGTTATGAAGATTTTACTCCTTCCCAAATTGCTGTCATGTATTTAGTGTAGTGGTAACAACATTCCATCAGACTGTCTGCTGTGGGATGTTCTGTATGCCAAATGTGTTGCTGATTAGTCAATAAATAAAACACTGATTGGCCATTGGCTAGGCAGGAAGTGTAGGCGGGACAAGGAGGAGAATAAAGCTGGGAAGTAGAAGGCTGAGTCAGAGAGACACTGCCAGCTGCCACGATGAGAAACAGCATGTGAAGATGCCGGCAAGCCACGAGCCATGTGGCAAGGTATAGATTAATGGAAATGGATTAATTTAAGCTGTAAGAACAGCTAGCAAGAAGCCTGCCACGGCCATACAGTTTGTAACCAATATAAGTCTCTGTGTTTACTTGATCGGGTCTGAGCGGCTGTGGGACTGGCAGGTGAGAGAGATTTGTCCTGACTGTGGGCCAGGTAGGAAAACTCTAGCTACAACTGTCCTTTGTAGATACTAGCAATAAAATCTTATATTGCCACTGATATGCAAGGACCTAGAAAAACAAAAAAGTTAAAAAATAACAAAATTAGAAGACTAATTCTTATTTGCTTCCAATACAGTTTGTAGAGCTATGTTAATCAAGAGAGTGTTAAAAGCATGTCAATGGAATACAACTGAGAGTGTGTATAAATAGAGTCACATGTATGTATAGAAAGTTGATCTTTGGCAGGGTACAGATGCAATGTAGAGACTCTAGAGTCATTTACAAAAATGCTATTAGCTGCCTGGCCCTTAAAACATACACACAGGTAGCATTATATGGAGTGAACAGACTATATATTTAGAAATATATGTATTTGTATATGCATATATACATACAATAACATTTAGTGAAAAAAGAAGTCATGAATTTGAAGCAGTGGGTAAGGCTTGGATGGAAGAAGGGAGAGGAGAAACATAATTAAAATCTCAAGAAAAATTAAAGACCAAAAAATTACATATAAATACTATTAGCAGGGCTAGAGAGATTGCTCAGGGTTAAGAATGCCTGCTATTCTTCCAGAGAGCCTGAATTTGGTTCCAAGAATCCTTGTCAGTTGGTTGATAACTGCCAGTTATCCCTGTTCCAGGGGATCTGACATCCTCTTTTGTTGTCTGAGGGTACCCACCCCCATGACATGTTCTCATACAGATACATGCATACTCACAAATGCAATGTAATAAAAATAATTTGAAGATGTAAATTGATATTGGATTTGGAACATTAGATGTCTATATGTAAAGATATGAACTTGGATTCCTACTTTGTATTATACAGAGGAATTTAAAATGAACCATAAGTATATATGTAAAATATATTCTAAGAATATGAGGGAAAATCTTTTTACTTTGAAGTTGGTAAGGACTTCTTTCATATGACATAAAACACATAATAGAGGAAGAAAATTGCAAGTTGGACTTCATAAAAATTAAAACCTGCTTTTTCAAGAACTTTTTTTTCTGTTTTTTTTGTAGGGGGTACTTGATACAGGGTCACACTATGTATACCTGGTTGTTCTTGTACTCACTATGTAGACTAAGCTTGCCTCGAATTATAGAGATCCATCTGTCTCTAATTCTGCCTCTGCCTCCCAAATCCTGAGATTAAAGATGTGCACCATCATACCTGACTTTCAAGGACTATTTTAAAATCAAGCCACAGATGGTAAAACGATATTTGAAAATAATCTATACAAAATAAAATATTTTTTTCTGATCATATAAAACCCCTAACAGCATTTACTTTATTAATAAGAAAATAAACAACATAACAAAAACTGACAAACAATTTGAACCTAGACTTTCCTTTCATCAAATTATATATATATATATATATATATATATATATATGTACATATATTTTTTCATATATATATGGAAAATATACAGAAATAAATTCATTACCATTAGTCACTAGAAAATGTGAATCAAACGTCAAAATCTTAACTATTGTTCCCATATCAGAATGCCTAAGTCATTGAAATCACACTGTTACAGAGAACTGTGGAGAACAGTTGAAACTCCTGTAGACTGCTAGCAGAAATGCAATCATAAACTGAGGGGATCCCTGCAGGTGTCATGCAGGTAGCGAAGTGAAATGTGAAGAGGTGGAAATGAAATCTCAGTTCAGATTGACTTTGTCAACATTGATCAAACTTTGGGGAGCCTGATGCTGTTTGGTCTCTTTTCCATTTTTTGGGTCCACACTACTCATGTGCCATCCTTTCCCACTTCTTTTTACTAAACTCCATTGAGTTCCTCATTCCAGATGTCTCCATTCACTGTACCCTTTCTACATGCACAATTTCTCTTTTCTCACGTTAGGTTGGTTTCCACTCTCCGTGTATTTCTAACCTCGTATGATAATTTATACATGAGGTAAGTTGTTGTTGAGCACCAACCTTCCTGTTGTGTTTCAGCTGTTAAATTTCTTGTAGTCATTAACCAAGGCTCTCACGAAAGCAACTTAAAGAACAGGGTCAAACCCTAACTAGTGATAGACATTTAAGAGTGTATCCAATTGACTTAGCCGTAAAATTTTAATTTTGTTCTTTAAATTTGTCTAACCTAAAAGGTAAGCACTCATTGAGGCACTGCTTCGATGAGCAGGAGAGGAGAATGTCCTCCATATACTGACTGAGCAACAGCTCAGGACATTTAATCAGCACCAGCTTAAGGGATTTATGACTTTTTAATATTTTTCTCTCATGAAGGAACCACTGAAACTTAGTTTATTCCTGCTATGAGGGAAAAACAAAGCAAAAATAAACAAACAAACAGCTCTGTGACAGTCTAGCCCTAGCTTATGCTACAGGTGGTGGAGCTCCACCTGCTGTTCCTTGGAACTCTGGTGTTGCTGCTCTGAACTAGTAGGCTCTGGGCTAGCAGGAGGCATGCAGAGAGAGAACTCCGAGTTCTGGTCAAATCCTGCAGGAGGGTGAGCCCCAAACTTGTGTGGCTGGCCTGGAATCTGAGTCCATTCTGCCTGCCCTGCCTAGATGTGTATGACAGAAAATCCCCCCTCCTCCCTCTCTCCCTCCCCATCTTCTTTCCCCTCTCCATTTTCTTAAATAATTGACAGGGGTTTTATCTCTTTTCTCATGGGATTTTTTCATATCAGTTCCTAGGCATATAAGCTGCAAAGCTATAGCTCTGAATATTTTGTTTTTCTGGATCTTAACAAACATTTCAATAATTCTACAAAATGTTTTGTCCCAAAGACTGAGAAGAGTCCATGTTAGTACCACTCTTTCAAGGGCTAAGATCCCTTTTCAGTGAGAGGCCTGAGTTTCCTGAAACCCTAATATCTATTTAAAGAAAACTTTCCTTACCTTCTCAAAGGATCATGCGCCCCATAATTTGGCGTTCTTAGGTGTCACTGCAGGTAGCGAAATGGACCAGGAATAGATGAGAATGAAAACTCAGTTCAGATTGACTTTGTAAACCTGGATCAAATTTTGGGGAGTCTGATGCCAGGAGGTATAATGTCAGCATATTTAAACACAGTATAATTTTGAAAAACATTTTCTGGTGTAATAAGATCCCCAGTGCACAAGGAAGCATAATTACATTGAAACTCAACTCAAGGTCCATGACATTTCTTCCAAGAAGATGAGTTATTTGTGTTATCTTAAATACATAGGGAAGGATTTGGCATAGTTATGGTCATACATATAGAGTGGAGATCATATAGTCTATTAGCTACCTCTGTCCTTATTGTAGGAGCTTGGGAGAGCCCCTAGCTGTACAGGTAATGTAAGAGTCATTTAGATACATCTAGTCCTGGTTATAAGAGCTTGCTATTGCCTGCCCAATGGATAATGCAGATCACAAGGCTCTTAATCACTTCCATTTTTTTTCCTTTGAGATGAAAATCCTGTATACTTAGCATTTCTGGTTTCCCTGTTGATCTCTGAGCACAAGGAACTTTGTGCTCCTAACAATAAACCACTTTGGAAAACTGATAGTTTCCTGAAAAGTTTAAAAAAAAAAAAAAAAGGAAGTGTTAGCTAGAGAGTTGTTTCAGTGTTTAAGGACCCTTGTTCTCCTTCCAGAGGACTGGTTTGGTTGCCAGCACCCACACTGAGGATCATAAATGTCTCTAAGTGTAGTTCAAGGGTCACAATTTTGCTTCCATAGTTGCTTCACTCACAAATATACATTCCAAGAAAACACACTTACACATAAAATAATTCTAGAATAGTTACATGAAACCTTTCAAACAATTTAAATATATGTTTCACACTAACACAAGAATCATGGAAACCTATGTCTATGTAAGAGCAAATAAAGATCATTTGCATGTATTTTTATGAACCACTTACATGCCTGGTACCTGTAGAGACCATAAGAAAGCATCAGATTCCCTGGAACTGGAGTTACAGGTGGTTGGGAATTGCATTGTGAATGTTGGAAATGGAGTTTTGGTCCTCTGGAAGGGAAGGAAGTGCTCTGAAGAGCTAAACCATCTCTCCAGGACTTTCAAATGGTACACACTTTAAATGTCCATTTCATTGTTTTTAGACCTTAGTAAACCTGTGAAAAAATTAATTAAATGAGCACATGTGTGGATCTTATTGATATCTTGATATGTGCATTGATAATTTAAATGATGGTGCTATAATTGTATTTAATCTCAACTTTGCAGGTCAGGTATATTTGGAAACCTGACAGCTCCCTGCAATGTACAGTGTGGTTGCTCAAGCTCCATTTACGCTTCTGTATGTGGAAGAGATGACAAGGAGTATTTCTCTCCCTGCTTTGCAGGCTGCAAGGCTTCTAAATACTTACAAAATGAAAAGGTAAATTTTATTTATGATGCTTCTTGCTCTCCAGTAACATGCTCAATTTGTAAGCAGTGATTAGATTCTACTCCCACTGCTCTCTAAAATTTTGTTCTTATATTTTCCTTATTTTTTTTTAACTTAATTTAATTTTATATATCAGCCATGGATTCCCCTGTCCTCCCCCCTCCTGCCCCCCCTCGCCTTTCCCTCAGCCCACCCCCCATTCCCATCTCCTCCAGGGCAAAGACTACCCTGGCGATTCAGCTCCACCTGGTAGATTCAGTCCAGGCAGGACCATTCCCCTCTCCCAGGCTGAGCGAAGTGTCCCTGCATAGGCCCCAGATTCCAAACAGCCACCTCATGCACTGAGGACAGGTCCAGGCCCCACTGCCTGGGTGCCTCCCAAACAGTTCAAGCTAATCAACTGTCACACTTATCCAGGGGGCCTGATGCAGTTGGAGGCTCCTCAGCCATTGGTTCATAGTTCATGTGTTTCCATTCGTTTGGCTATTTGTCCCTGTGCTTTTTCCAATCTTGGTCTCCACAATTCTCGCTCATACAATCCCTCCTCTTTCTCACAGAAAGAAAACCCAGTTTATGCTTTCTGAGTTCCCTTTCAGCTGCGCTCACTGAACTTTGAACATAATCTTTCACACACCAAAAGGTTTTCAGGTGCTATCCTGTGAGTCAGCTCTCCTTCAAATGTGCCTTCTGCTGGGATTCAAAATGCCTACTCTGTATTTTCCTGTTGTTTCTCTATTTCCACTTCACAGTAACTCGGATATGGATAAGATTTTTTTCAGAGGTATTGAATCCAGGGCTCTACTGCTGAGCTTTTATCCCCTGTTCCTAGTTCTTTGCACTATTTCAGAAAAAAAATAATCTGACATTCTGGAAAGTGGACAGCCATACAGAAATCACATGAATGAGAGAAGTATGGCTTAACTGAATTGAATCTTTTGAGTAGGGGGAGGGTTTGGGGGGAAGAAGGCTGGGGGGCAGGAGAAGGGAAGAGAGCAGGATCTGTGGTTGGTATGTAAAATGAATAAAAAATTTCTTAATTAAAAAAATCTCTAGTTGCATATCTCATAGCATGCCCATGAAATTTCTTATTTCTTTGCTTGCTGATAATGCCTACAACTGGTTTAATTTTTTCCCTAGTCCTTGTTCTGTTATAAAGAGCAATTGACTAGTCTATCACTTGTCTGAGTTTGTGGGGTTCTCCTTTTTTGATTTTCTGTGTATGCACATTTTGATGAATGTGTGCATGAAGCACATATGCACAACTATGATAACATTTGATACTTAAAAATGGAAAAAGTATTCAGTCTCAAAATATGTGAATAAAGTAATGGTCAGAAGACAATCTCTGATGTCATTCCTTAAGAGAGGTCCACCTTGGTTTTTGAGGCAGTCTTTCACAGATTGGAACTCTCCAAAGAAGGACCCAGGGATCCACACCTTTCTGCTTTTACAGCAGTGAGGTTACAAGCACACCACCAACCTGGGATTTTTATGTGGATGCTGGGGATCAAACCTAAGTCCTGATTCTTGGTACTTCAATGACTCAGTTATCTGCCCATGAACATTTTATAGTTGTTAATTATGTTTTCTTCAGTTTCTATCTATTAAATAGTAAAAAAAAATATGGATCTAGGTATTAAAAATCCTGTGTCTTTCCCCCCCTCAGTTTCCTGGTTTTTGAAGAGAAGAGTGCAGTAAATAGACATATTTACTGATATATATATATATATATATATATATATATATATATATATATATATATTCACATATATACACACATATATATTAGGTCAATATCTTTAGTAGCATTTATGATTTAGTATCATAACAAGGTTTTTAACAAGCATTAGTATACAAGCATTAGTATAAAAATGATTTTGAAATTTATAAAAATCATTCTTCTAAAGTGCTCTATGTTAAAATAATATTTAAGTCTTTAAAATATGAGGAAAATATAGAAGGAATAGGTATATTGAACTCGCACATCAAGTTTTCCATCTTCAAACATTGACTGTAATTACTGTAAGTCCTTGCTTTATACGTGTACCCATTTCTTCTCCTTACTATGTTAAAATATGCAAATGCAGCTGCAAATGCCCACCATGCCACCATACAGCAAATGAACATTCACTGAGAGGCTAAACACAGTATCACTGTTGAGCTACTCTCCTTTGCGGGAAATCCTGCTTTGGAACATTCATCTCAAGGAATTCTTTAAAATTTTCTTATATTTCTACAGGTCACAATTAATTCATAATGCACAGCAAATATAGACAGATTCCACAAAGTAGCCACACACAGTGTACGGAAACGTTTGATACTCAGACATGGGAACGATAGAGGAGTTCCAGTGGAGAGTATGACTACCAAATGTTGTCTAGAAAGACAATAATCATTGATGGGAACAATCGCTCCGAATGAAAGACTGACAAAAACAAAGACTGTGTGGTTAGACAAATTTGACATGAATGGAACTGAAGACTGTGCAGAGTCGGCATTAGTGTCACATGGGAAAGAGCTGAAATAACACCCAGACTAATTTTGATAAAACTGAGGAAAAACACTGCCTTTATTAAAACAGAAAAGTCTTTGCTTCATATTAATAATCTAGACAGTGTGGCTCTTTTAGACACCTTATGCTCCTAAAAGATGCTCACTCTTTTTGTTTTTACTTATTTATGTCATAAAACTGCTTGGACTTTTTTTTTTTTATGATCTTGTATCTTTGGCTGGTTCTTTTTGCTCTCTACTGTAGCTCTTGTTGTAAGACAGCCAGACTGAGAATGTCCATCCGCAGCTTCTTAGTTCAACAGAGACCTCATTCTTATCATCAGTGGAGGAGCCTGTCCACATCTCAGCCAAAGCATTAAGGAATCTCTTCGGTACCAAAGGACAGTGAAGGCTTTCTGTCAGAGTTCATGCTCTGATGGAAAAGTCAAGGCAAATTAAAGCAAAAATGTGTCTCAGATAGGTGTCTCTGTTAGGGTTTCAATTGCTGCAATGAAACACCATGACCAAAAAGTAAGTTGGGGAGGGAAGGGTTTATTCGGCTTTCACATCAGCATTACTGTTCATCATTGAAGGAAGTCAGGACAGGAACTCAAACAGGGCAGGATCCCAGAGGCAGGAGCTGATGCAGAAGCCATAGAGCAGAGCTGCTTACTGGGTTGCTTCCCATAGCTTGCTAAGTCCACCTTCTTATAGAATCCAGGACCAATAGCCCAGGGATGGCACCACCCACCCTGGCCTGGGCCCTTCCCCATTGATCACTAATTGAGGAAATGCCTTACAGCTGGATCTCATAGAGGCATTTCCTTAGCTGAGGCTCCTTCCTCTCTGTTAACGCCAGCTTGTGTCAAGTTGACACATAAAACCAGCCAGTACAGAGAGGGCAGCATACAACAGTAAACAAATGGACTTCTTTTTCTTTTACATTTCAATTTGTAACATAAAACTACATAAGAAAGTGATATGTTAAGTCATACAAACATGAAGCACCTGATAAAGAATCTCAATGAGGGAGGTACCATAGAAGTAAGAAGCTATTAGTAAGTATCTCATTCACCAAAGCATTTATTGGCATGTAAACTGTAACGGATAGTTTGAAATGAATTATGATTTTTCTCTTAAGTGGCCCCAGGTGAGTAAATGTTTATAGAAACAGAAAGGAGCCCTTGGGGTCTCCATCAGAAATATCCTTAAACTATTCTACGTGTATTTTTTACAAAAATCTTATATATTCATTTATAGAGTCAGTATTTGTGTGTGTGTGTGTGTGTGTGTATGTTAGAAGCTACCACTGAATGTCTTCCTCTGCTGCTCTCTGCCTTAACTTTTGAGACAGGGTCTCTCACTGGATATAGAGCTCATCAGTTTGGTTAGTCTAGTTGGCCAGTCATCTCCAGGATCCACGCTTCTCCTTTCCCAGCCCAGAACTAGAGTTATAGATGCAGTTTTCCTGTGGGTGTTCGGTATTCAAACTAGGTTCCTCTTACTGCATGGAAAAGACTCTACTGAATGAGCCATCTCCCAAGCTATCTTTGTTTAAATATCTTAATTTTGGTAGCATGCCTATATTTTCATTTTTAATGATTTTTAATTGAAAGTAGATTTTTTTCATACACTATATTTTGAATACAGTTTGCCACATTCAATGCATACTAGATCCTTCCCCCCTTTATACCCAGTTAATTATGCAGCCTTCCCTCCTCTCTATCATTAGAAAAGAACCAGGCATATAATAATAATAATAATAATAATAATAATAATAATAATAATAATAATAATTAGAAGATACAATAAAAACAATCTAGAGTAGAGCAAAACAATCTTTGTAGAAAAATGGCCAATGTGAAAGCACATAAACACATGCAGATGCCGAAAGACACACATTCACATACATAGAAAACCATGAAAACAAAATTGAAAGCCATACTATATAAGCAAAGTATCTATGGGTGAAAAAAATAGATAGATAAGTAAATAAATAAAGTTCCCAAATAAAGTATTATGATATAAAACCCAATAATAACAACAAAACAAAACACAACACAGCAAAACCCCTCAAAAATACCATTTCATTTGTTTTATATTGGCCAGTTACTGATGGGCATGAAATCTGCCATGGAGAGTAGTTTGAATGCCCAGTGAGACTTGTTTGGAAAAAATGAATTTTTCCTTTACAAGTGGATGTCAATTGGAGACAGCTTCTGGAATGAGTATGAGGGTGAGTGTCTACATCCGATTTTAGAGATGGTCACCCTGGCTGGTCTAGCCCTGTGCATGCTGTTACTCTCTTTATGAGTTCATTTGTATACCCATTCTGTTGTGCCTAAAAGACCTTGTTTTCTGAATGTACTCCATCCCATCCCCCTCTGGCTCTAAAATCTTCCTCTTCTTATACAGAGTTCCCTGGGCCCTTACAGGAGGGACTTGATGTAGACATCCCATTTAGGAGTAAATATTCCGTGGGTTCTCACTCTCTGCATACA